GGTCTATTTCCTATCAGCCTCTTCCTCGCTTATTCCTCACGGAGCACCCTGATGCCCCCGTGGCCATTCATACCGTTCGGCACAATCGCTCCGATCCTAATACCTAATATGTGCAAGGAGCAGGATTGGTAACTGACGTGAAACAAAGCCTGCCCTCACTGTGCCCAGTCTAACTGGGGAGGGTGGGCAACAGGCAAAATGCATACAGTCACGCGCATGTGCACACACAGGCAAAGAAGCAAGGGAGGGTAGTGGGTGGGTCAGAGAGGGCGGCTTCGAGGAGGTGCTGTCCGAGCTGAGACAGGAAGGGGTGAGAAGTAGGAGAGGGGTGTTCCAGGCAGAACCAGCAGGTGCACCCACCCTTGGTTAGGGAGGAGGAGCTTGGCCTCTTCTAGGAATAGAGTAGGGTGGGTGCGGATGGAGAGGGCAAGTATGGGGGGCATGGGCCAGGCTCCCCTCCCCTCCCCCCCAAGCAGGAAACCACTGTTCAAAAGCTTTCATAAAGAAGTTGGTCTGTTTCTACAGCAAAGCTCTCTGGCAGCTTCTGGAAGTCATTTAGACAGGAATGCAGCACAGATGGAGGTCGTGGGGATGGTGACAAGGGCCTGGATTGGGGATCTATTTTGTAGGCAGGGCTTCACAGACGTGGTGCTGGATGGCGTGAGACAAGGGAAAACATGGAGCCCAATGTCTCTGTGTCGTCAGGTGGGGTAGGGCGGAGGGCAAGCCCATCTGCTAAGATGCGGATGACTTGGGCGGGGACCAGATTTAAGTGGGGAGTCTCAGGTCACCCTGGAGAGATGACAGGGATAAGGACCTTGTTCCCCGATGAAGGGTGGCCATCGCACCTAGGGTTTTTCTTTCTTTCCGCCTGGAGCCTCCCCTGCTGTGCTCGCACAGTGAGGCCTTTCTCAGCCTTCTGATCTTGGATCAAATACCGCCCTTGGTGTCCTTCCCTAACCAAGGTCATCCTCTCTCCCCCAATTCGACTATGGCTGCCATGTCTTGTTCACTGACCAAAGGGCAGAACCCAACGCACAGCCCGACAGTGTGGCCTCCAGAGACTGCAGTGAGTGAGGAAAGGTACCACTCCCCACCAGACCCCAGGCAGAGGAGCATACAGGAGATGCAGATCCTGAGAGGTCTCAGAGTTTTGCCGGGGGAGGGAAGGGAGACCTGGCCAGTCTAGAAGTCCAGGTAAGGACTACTGGGAGGAAGCAACAGCCACAGTCCTGTGGGAAGTGGGGTGTGGAACAGAGGGTTTTGCTGCATGGGGAGGCCCTGGAGAGCCGCGAGGGCACGGCAGGGATTGTTCTCCCATTTGACAAAGGAGACTCTGTCCGGAAAGTGTGCCTGGTGACCCAAATCCTGACCAAGAGCGACATCTAAGAAGCTATCTTCTCAAGGGGGGCAGACATGAGCAGGAACGTTGAGCAACGCGATGGGTGTCCAGCAGGTGGCAGCAAAGGTAGGCTGAGGGCAAGCGAAGTGGAAAACACAGGCTCCTCGCGGCATCCGTATTACGGAATAGTTCAGGAGCAATCTACGAGGACTCAGGCGCCAGAGACGATCACGTGACCGGTAGCTTCCGGTCTTTTTCTTGCGGCTTCTAGCGCCGGAGTGGGTTCGTGTGCTTCGACGCCGCCGGAGGCCTGCCGGGTGCGGCTCTGGCTTGAGACAGCGGTGGTTGGCGCATGGAGGGCTCCTCGGAGGAGGAGGTGCCCGTGGCGGCGCTGGCTGCCGTGCTGAAGCCCAGCTCAGTGCTGCCACCCGAGAGCACCCCGGTCCGGGGCTATGACTTCAACCGCGGCGTGGACTACCGCGCGCTCCTGGGGGCCTGCGGCACCACCGGCTTCCAGGCCACCAACTTCGGGCGCGCGGTGCAGCAAGTCAACGCCATGGTGAGGCCTGGGGCGGGACTTCCTGGACTGCGGGGGGCGTGGCTTCCAGCTGGGCTGGTGCGCTCCGAGGGGGGGCGGGCACTTGGTGGAGAAGTCCAATAGCTGGAGAGAGGCGGGGCCTATCGTCAGCCAGTTAGGGAAAGGCTCCCGTAGAGAAAGCCTGGTGTCTGGAGGGGGTGGGGTCTGGGTCTGGGTAGCGGGCGGGTTTAAGGAGTGCAAACCTTCGGGATTAGGCGGAGCAACACCGTTAGGAAAGGAATGGAGGAGGAGCCCGAGTCCCCGCGGGACTTGATTGTGGGCGTGCACGTATCAGCTGGGACCGGATTTGTAAAGGGATTACTTGCTTTCTTTTTTAAAAATATAAGCAAATTAGGTGGGGGGTTTATATTTCCGAACCATCGACTCTGCATTCAGCAATAGAGTTGCTTTCTGACCGGGAGGTCCCGGTGGGAAGGGGCCTGCACATAGGGCACGTTCCTTGGACCCCCGCTAAGTGTGCCCCTGAGGGGGCCGAGCCTCAAGGCAGAGTCTGCCTCGAATCCCTCTGGGGCTCGAGTTGGGGTGTGGGGCCAGAGCTCAGCTCACCCGGCTGCCCCATCCAGATCGAGAAGAAGCTGGAGCCACTGTCAGAGGAGGAGGACCAGCACGCGGACCTGACCCAGAGCCGCCGCCCGCTTACCGGCTGCACCATCTTCCTGGGATACACGTCCAACCTCATCAGCTCCGGCATCCGCGAGACCATCCGGTACCTCGTGCAGCACAACATGGTGGGGACACGCTTTGGCCTCTCGGCGTTGCGATGGGGAATAAAGCCCATGATGAAGGGAACTGGGGAGACATGAGTTAGTTTTAAGGATCAAGAGTGTCCCTCTAAAGGTCATCAGTTGAGGTGGAGGGTTTGGAGCCTTGCTGGCATTGGGAGAGGGCCCTCCTATCCACCCGACTTCGTTTCTTCGGGCTGCAGGTGGATGTTCTGGTGACCACAGCCGGGGGCGTGGAAGAAGATCTCATTAAATGCCTGGCACCCACGTACCTGGGCGAGTTTAGCCTCAGGGGGAAGGAACTCCGAGAGAATGGGATCAACAGGTGGGGAGCCCTGAGTGGTGCGGGGCAGGGGAGCTGAGCCAAAAGGTGCGGGTCTTGACGGCCACCTGTCCCTAGGATTGGGAATCTCTTGGTGCCCAATGACAATTACTGCAAGTTTGAAGACTGGCTGATGCCCATTCTGGACCAGATGGTGCTGGAGCAGAACACGGAGGTGGGACAGGGCAGCCTTGGGTGTGGACATAGTAGGGGCCAGGGTCGAAGCCCACCGAGACCCCTGTCCCTTTGTAGGGTGTGAAGTGGACACCCTCCAAGATGATCGCCCGGCTTGGCAAGGAGATCAACAATCCTGAGTCGGTGTATTACTGGGCCCAGAAGGTGAGGAGCTGGCTGGAGGCACAGCAGCCAGCAGGTCCCAGGCCCTTTATCTTCACAGCCACCAGGGAACTTGGTACTGTTCTTCCAGTCATTCCCACTGCAGAGACGGGGAACTTCAGAGAGAGATTAAGGAATTTGAGGTCCTGGGAAGCAGCCAGGAAAAAAGCTCTTAGCAACTTTTGAGGTACAACAGCCTGAGAAGTAAGAGCCAGCTTTCCCTCGCATGCTAAGGATTTTCCCATGCATTTTCCAAGGGGTTACCTCATGGTTGCCTCAACTGAGGGTGATGGTGTTACCCTCACTTTACAATTGAGGAAACTGAGGCCCGGAGAAGTTAAGCACCCCGCCCACAGTCCTGCAAGAGGAAGGGAGCTAAGGCCAGGCTGAGCTCCAGCTAAGCTCCAGCCTCTGCCCTGCCCTCCCCTCCCCAGAACCACATCCCTGTGTTGAGCCCGGCACTCACGGACGGCTCGCTGGGCGACATGATCTTCTTCCATTCCTACAAGAACCCTGGCCTGGTCCTGGACATTGTTGAGGGTGAGGTGCTGGGCTCTCTGTGGAGTGGGCATGGGAGGAGGGCTGAAGTCTCACCACAGCCCCTTGTCCCTCAGACCTGAGGCTCATCAACACACAGGCCATCTTCGCCAAGCGCTCTGGAATGATTATCCTGGGCGGGGGCCTGGTCAAGCACCACATCGCCAATGCCAACCTCATGGTAAGTTGACCAGGTTCGGTGGGGTGGGGTGGAGAGGCTGGGGGACTGCATCTGCCATCTATGTGCTAGACCATATGCTCTATACTGGGGTTAATAGCCTCAGGTGGGCAGGCAGGGATAACCTGCCCTTTGGGGACAGATAGCCAAGGGACATGTACGTTAGGTGGCAGGAAAAATTAGAAAAAATGGCAGGAGAAAGTGTACTTGAGCAAGGCCATTTTAAGAAGTGGGGCAGACACTGAGCAGATCGGCAGGGTGGTCGCCAGGAATCACAGCTAACCTGGGGAAGAGTTCTGGGCAGTGCGAACTGTCAGTGCAAAGGCTCTGAAGTGTAACAGCTGGGAGGCCGGTGGTGGGGAGCTGGGAGAGACAAGAGTAATCGGGAGGGGATGGGGCAGGTCAGAAAAGGCCTTGTGGGCCACAGGGGTGACCTTGGTTTATGCCACGGAGGTGGGAGCCCCGGAAGGCTCCGAGGAAGCTCACGTGCCACTCTAGTCTCCGGCTGCTTTGAGGGGAGCAGGCTGGAGGGGGGCGTGAGTGGAGCTGGGAGGCCAGGGGTGACTGAGCTGGTGCAGGCCAGCGCTGGTGAGGGCGGGGCCTGGGTGGCAGCTGTGAAGGTGGGGAGTGGTTGAGTTTGGAGGTATTGGGGGGCAGCACTGGCGACCCTTACTGCTGACCAGCCAGCAGGGAGACTGCTCACACCAGGCCCCGTTTGTCTGGAGGAAGAGCTGCCCATTGCGTTTTTTGCCCTGGGACCCCTCAATTCTGTTCAGGCAAGGGTTTCTGACCTTGGAGCAAGAGGTGCTAAGGGCTTCCTTCCTCAGGAACACCTCCCTCAGCCACATGCCCACTCCCTCCTGCATCTCTGTGCACTGCGGTCTCTGGCTCCGGTGACCGGCTGACCTGCCCCTCCCCTGTCCACAGCGGAATGGGGCTGACTATGCGGTCTACATTAACACGGCCCAGGAGTTCGATGGCTCTGATTCAGGTGCCCGGCCGGATGAGGCTGTCTCGTGGGGCAAGATCCGGGTGGACGCACAGCCTGTCAAGGTGAGAGCCGGGCCGGTGGCTGCAGGTCTCTGGAGATGAGGCCGAGGAGCCCCCTGGCTCACCTAGGTCCCCCTCTACAGGTGTATGCTGATGCCTCCCTGGTATTCCCTCTGCTTGTGGCTGAAACCTTTGCCCAGAAGGCAGATGCCTTTGTGCCCGAGAAGAATGAGGACTGAGCAGCAATTGTCCCAGGGAGATCTTGCCCCACCTCTATTTATTAGTGTGAAAGCCCAGCCCCCCGAGCCTCCCTGGCCAGCACTGTGTCCCAAATAAATGGTTCCAGCTCTTCTTCCGAGGCGGTCGGTGTCTGTGCTTGGGAGAGTGGGGGGCAGTCCCCTGGCTTCAGCCTGTCCCACCTTCCGCTTCATAGGACTCTTCCCGCCAGCAGTGGATGCTGCCTCCCATGGCCGTCAGCAGGCAGGGCTCGGTGGGGTGGAAGGCCAGCGACTGCACCACCCCGGGTCCCACGGGCAGGGCCAGCGCCTGCGAACCCTGTGGGGCAAGGCAGTGGGAGCAGTTAGCAGTGGCATTCAAGTTCCTCACTCTAGTCCAGCCCCTTTCCACTGACCATGAGAGCCGGACCCTAACTGCTCTCCACACACCACACTGCATGCCAACATGGGCGTCTTATCTTGCCCTCTCATACCTCAGCTACTCTCTATGGTCAGGGCTGTTGGCTCTGCCCTTCAGGCATGTCCAGAGGCTGCCATTTTCTCCACTGTGCTCCCAGCCCACCCTGTTCCAGCTGCCCCTCCACCCCACCCCCCGGTTATCTGTGGCCTTGGTGCATCTCACTTCCCTCATCACAACTGGTACACTTCCTGAAGTTGCCCCCAATTCCTCTTTCAACCCTGAAAACATCCTTCCACGTGTCCTCTCTACCCTGGTGACTTCCTGCCGTGGGGCCCCCCGGGAAGGTGAGACATTCCCACTCTCCACTTTGGTCCCATTGTGAGAGCTGGTCCCCCCAGTCCTCAGAGACTTGGTGCTCTGGACTGGCATCACCTTCCTTGAAGTTCCTCGGATGTGGCACCAGTGATCTCGGGCAGCCTCTCCCCACCTGTCTTGCCTGTAGGCCTGAGAGTCTTCAAGGCCAGGCCGGGAAACTATGGCATCTCTTTGTTGTCAGGCAGGTTCCCGGATCAGCAACAGCCCTGTCCCTCCCAAGGCTCTGTGCCCGGTCCTCAACCTGACGCTTGTGATCCTCCCCGATCTGGATCCTGCCACACGTGCCCTTTGGTGACTGATGTGTGCGCGGCACCTGCACACGTTTCCCTTGGCCTGGAATGTCCTTTCTGCCTGCCTTGTCCCTCAAGGCCCCGCTTGCTCGAACAGCCATGCTCATTTTCAAATCCGAGCGTGACTGGCAGAAGAATGGGATGTGGGGGCGGGGCTCACCTCCACCAGGTCCCAAAAGAACACCTTTCCGTCCTCAGAGCAGCTGACCACGTGCGTGTCGCGCTCACTCAGGCAGCAGTCCAGTTTGTATTCCTGGTTCTTGTGGCCTGTGTACCTGGAGAGGGTGGGGTGTCAGGGGTGCTTGGGCCTCCTCAGAAGTAGGGAGGAAGGACAGGCAAGCCCATGGACTCACTCGCCCAGCAGTTCCCCCGTGTCTTTATCTAGAAGCCGCAGTGTCGAGTCCAGGCTGGATACCAGGGTACACTGCCCATCCCGGCTGAAGCAGATGCAGGTGATGGGGCCTGGTGGGAGGGGAGGGTGGGTGAGTGAGTTGGGGTCCCCTCTATGGCCCCCATGCACCCTTCCTGCCCCACAGCCTGGGCCCCACTCACTGCCCACGTAGTCTGAGAAGAGCTGCCCCACCCTCAAGTCATAGCGCCTCACACGGCCGTCCACAGAGCTGCAGGAGAAGGCAGAGAGGGTTGATTTCCAGGACCCATCTTCCCCTGTGCCCCCATCAGCCCCAAGGGCAAGGCTGAGCCCACACTTCTGGGCACCCTTCATGGCCGTGGAAAAAAGCATTACAACAGAACTGAATTAACACGTGAAATTCTCAGGCCTTCCGGGTCCGATTCAGACTCATCAGGTCCACTCCATCCATTTCTGAGGTCCAAGGCCGCTTTTTTACACCAGACTTTTGGAGCACTTCTAGATCCTCATTTTTCTGCACGCTCTCTCCAAAGCAGCCCCCCCCACGACCGCCAGGGGGAGCACTTCTGAGAGTACAATGGGAGTGAGGGCAATCCCCCTCAAACAGGGATCCCGATATTCTCAAGAAAGACATTCAAATTCTTCCTGTGGTTTTTCAGACCCTACATCACCTGCTCAGGCTCATAGCTTCCCACTTATGTGGCCTACTACCTCCTTTTTAGGAAAAAAAATTTGCTCAGCCCCCAATAAAACCTTTATACTGTAGTCCAAAATCCAGGATAAAGTAGAGGTGTTTGGATTCCTCCAAAGGCTTGGGATGGGGGTGTATCACTCACTTTGGGAAACACATACACAGCTAGCTGCTTCCAACCCCATTCTCCCCTCCTGCACCAATCTTGTGTAGCTTCTGCCATCCAGCCACTTCCCAAATGCCCCTTCCACCCCCAGTTTGGGGCCTTTGTACTTGGTTCTCAAAGCTCTCCCCTGGGTGACTCCTCCTCCGCCTTTACCCAGCCTTCCTTGCCTCCCCATGACCCAGCGGAGCCTCACGTTCATTTCTCAGGCAAGCCCGTCCTTTCTTCTCATCACTCGGCTTGAGTGACAGTAGCTGTGTTGACTTCGTTACTGGTCCTCTGCCCCACTAGAGGAGCAAGATCTCAGGGGGCAGGAACCAAGTCTGTCTCATTCTCAGCCTCCAGCAGCCCAGGCCTGGCTGAGAGGCCTTGGGTCGGGGATGCACAGCCACTTGGAAGGCTGGGTCAGGCTGATCATGGCAAAGGAGAGGGGCAGGGCACCCATGGCACTTACCTGTCTGTGTGGCCTCAGAGCCGAAGGGAACTGCACTGTCCTCCCCCAATGGGGAGACAGAAACAGCCAGTGCCTCACAAGGCCACCAGGAGGAATTACTCAGATTCTTTACATAGACACAAGCATCTCCTCGCTGCCAGACCCTGGAACTTAGTTTTGACCATGCCAGGCAATTTCTGTGCTCACAGAGGTAGCACTGATTGAGGGTCATCTAGGGAGGCCCCCTAAAGAGGTGATGACATCTGAACTGGGACCTGAAGGATGAAGAGCTAGCACAGGCAGTCCTACTGGGATAGGACTGTCCACACAGGTCAGGCAGCCCATACGCCCTTGGTGATAATGATGGCACCATTCCACTCCCTTGGATTGTGGCAATACTCGGGTGGCCCAGTATGAAGATTTAAAAACAGCAACAACTTGTTTCCTACAACTAGAATATCAACGTTTCATTGGCAAGCAAGAACTTCATTTGTTCCCTGATGTATGCACATGAAAAGGTCCCTGGTGGCACTGTGAACTGGGTGATGAGCTGCTCACCACAAGGTCAATGGTTCAAACCCACCAGCCGCTCAGCAAGAGAAAGCGGAGTCTCGCTGCTCCTGTAGAGATGAACAGCCTTGGAAGCCCCACATAGTGTCCCTATGAGAACCAACACCACGGCAGGGGCTCGGTTTTGGCTATAGTCTCAGAGCAGTGGGCTAAGTGCTGAGCTGCTAACAGCAACGTTGCTGGCTCAAGCCCACCAGCTGCTCTACAGGAGAGCGAGGTGGCTGTCTGCACCCTTTAATGAGTTCTACTCTGCCCTGTAGCCTCACTAGGAGGCAGAATCAACTTCATGGCAGTGGGCTGAGTTTGTTCTATTCCCAACCAACAGAAAAGTATTACTCAAATGCATTTGGAATTACGTAGCAGATGGGACAGACCAGGAAGAACAAGGGAAGAACGAGGGAAGAGGCCTCACGGCGGGGTGTGGGTGTGGAGAGATGCTTGATGTGTGGGTGAGAAGTGAGGCCCAGCTAACTGCAGCAGAGAGTGGAGGTTTTCATTCACGGGCAGCGGCAGCTCCAGCTCAGCTTTCTAGTGGCTCCATTCACCCACTCACCCTGCCAGGATCTCGTGGTCCGACACCTTCAGACTGGAGACGCCATCCCTGGCCTCATCCAGCTTCTGCACTGGCTCAGGCTTCCTGGAGCGGCAGTCCCAACAGCGGATGCTCGAATCAATAGAGCCTGTGAGGCCAGCAGGGGGATCAGGTTTGGGAGAGCGGGAGCAGCACCTTGGGCACCCCCTGGCCCTACCTAGGCCCCAGACTCACCGGAGAGGATCACCGTGGCCTCTTCATTAAACTGTACGGTGCTCACCTTCTGAGGAACACGAACAGCCACTCAGAGGGGGCCGAGCTTTGGAGGGTTGGGATCGAGGTAGGGTTCTCAAGGTGGGTCAAAGCAATGGCTATGCGGGACAAGGGAGGTGAAAGGCATTGGGGGAGATGCAAGGGCAGGGCTTGGTGTTTGCCTGGCCATTAGGATCACCAGGGCACGGAGAAAAGCCCTTGGGCTCATGCCCAAAGGCGGCGGGGTGGTGATGAGAGCGTCACAGGACTACCTTGTCAGGCGGCCTTGCCCCGGAAGATCGACTTGCTCGTACTCACCCCCGCGTGCCCTCGAAATTTGCGGATGACCTGACCCGATGCCACATCCCACAGCACCACGGCCTTGTCCCCGCCGCCGGAGCAGAGACTGCTGTTGTCAAAGGAGCTGGAGAGAAAGGGCGGAGCTGTCGGGGGCTCCCCTCGGCCCTCGGCCCCCTCGCTTCCATGCGGCGCCCGGCCCTCGGCTCACCCGGCCGCGTCCAGCACCTCGTAGCCATGGCCGCTGTACGTTCGCAGCAGCGTCCCCCGCAGCGGGTTCCACAGCTTGAGGGTCTTGTCGCTGCCGCACGTCAGGCAGTAGTTGCCATCCACTGGGGAAGACCAGGCAGGGGTCACCGGGCCGCGGAGCGCGGGGGCTGGGGGCGAACCCGCCAGGAAGGAGGCGCTCACCGTTAAAGCGCACGGCGCGCACCGCCCCCTGCCCGCAGTCCAGCGTCTTCAGCCGTTTCCGCGGCAGCTCCGGCGCCCGCGGCTTCGGCTCAGGGAAAGCCATGGTTCCGAGCCCCCCGCCCCTTCCCGCAAAGTCGCGACCGAGCCTCCGAATCCCAGCGGCGGGCCCACGAGTGAGTGTCACCTTCTCGGGGTCCCGCCCGGCCAACTTCCTGTTCCTCCCTTCCTGGGTCAGCGCGGCGTCTCTCTGGGTCGAGCATTAGGCACCTCGGAGCGCGAGGTCCGGTGTTCACTTGATCGGAGCCCAAAGGCCGGACGCACCTCCTGTTTTCCAGAAGCATCCCTAGCGTCTCCTAGTCCTCCATCTCCCGGTCGGGGGAGGCCTCCTCCGCCCGGGCGGAACCGAAGCGCAGGGCCTTCCGCGGGGTCACTCGGAAAGCCGTCCCCGTGCCCGCGCCGGAAGCTCCGCCGCACCGCGGAAGGGGCGCGTCCCAGCCTTCCACTCGGCTATGTCTGCGAACAATATGTCGGACCCACGGAGGCCAAACAAAGTGTTGCGGTGAGGTTCCCAGCGTCACGGCGGCAGGGTTTCGGGGCGTGGGCTGGGGGGTCAGGGGCTCGTTCGTTCGGGGGGCGGGACTTTGGCGCCCCTGACCCTTGAACCTGCTGCAGGTACAAGCCTCCGCCGAGCGAGTGTAACCCGGCCTTGGATGATCCGACGCCGGACTACATGAACCTACTCGGCATGATCTTTAGCATGTGCGGACTCATGCTCAAGGTGTGCGGACCGTGAGGGAACAGCACGGAGGGGGCGGGGCTTGAACTTGGGTGCCAAGACAGGCCTGTAACGGGTGCTCCTGCCAGAGACTAAGTTGGGTGACTGGCACCAGCTGGGGAAAGCTAGAGCCGTCGGGGAAGCTGGGGATGGGGTACCCGGGAGGGTACGTGGGAGGTGGATCCGAGGGTGAGGTCCAGCTTAGAGTCAACTTGGAGCGGGTGCATGGCAAAAGGGCAGGGCCCTTGGCATGAGGGGCATGTTTCAGGACGGTGGTTTTGGACTTGAGAGGACGTCATGAGGTCAGGTACAGATCAGAGAGTCGGACCAGGTACTTGGAATGGACTATGAGTGGGCGGGACCTGAGAGAAGCTGGGACCCAGCCCTGAACTGAGCCAGATGGAGTCTGGGTGGAACGTGCGCCTAGGGACGCCTGAAGGGACGCGGCACGAGGGCTGGGCTTTGCAGTCCTCGCTGAGTACCCCTCACCAACCCACTTCCCTTTGCCACCCACTTCCCCGCTCCAGCTGAAGTGGTGTGCTTGGGTTGCCGTCTACTGCTCCTTCATCAGCTTCGCCAATTCCCGGAGTTCGGAGGATACCAAACAGATGATGAGTAGCTTTATGTGAGTGCGGGCCAAGAAAGAAATGGACGCGGAATAGACGGAGGGACGCAAGCCTTTACGTTTTGGACCCTAACTGACACCCCTCTCCCATCTCAGGTTGTCCATCTCGGCGGTGGTGATGTCCTATCTACAGAACCCTCAACCCATGACGCCCCCTTGGTGATGCCAGTCTTGAGGGGTCCCATCCTGTGCCCCCTCTATTTCCTCCCGGATTGGCCTTCGACTGTTGTCTCGGGCTTCCCTGGCTGGGGTGGTCTCAGGTCTCTCTCTCAGCTGAAGGGAGGGAACCTGGTCCCTTCCCTGGACTCTCCCTCTGCTAGGATGCAAGGAGACTATCCTAGGCCTACCTACATCCGTGTCCTTCTCCACCACCTGCTGCCTGTTGCCGATGGAAATGCGGTCTGTGTTTCTGGGCAACTTTTCCTGTTGAAATAAGTTAATAAAGTTTTGTGGTTTTTTTTTTTCCATTCTAAACAACCTCTGCAACCTGCTTCCTTCTGTGCACTGGGGGAAAGCCTCTATCCTGGAACAGAGCTCCCTGGCGCTGGTGGTTTGCTTATTTCACAAATCTCCTGTCTAAAGTCCAGTGGCAGATAAAGCACAGTGAGCCCTTGCCCTTGGCGACTGAGACTATCAGCCTGCTGACCCTAGGAATCTGGGCTGGGGTTTTCTTCTCAGGGCGTCAGGGTAATAGTTGGAGCCTGGATGGACCAGTAGGAATTAGGGAGGAGGTGAAAGGCTCAGGTCCTCCCCTACCTATTCAGTCTACTCTGGAGATTAGACACCACAGGACCCCGGGGAGCCTTCCCAAGTAGGCTGGGTGCTTCCCATCCCCAGCACCCCAAGGGCACTTCAGTCTTTATGGAGTGAACAGACCCTACATCAACCAACCCCTGTTCTAGCCAAGCTGGGGCCCTCCAGGATCCCAGCCCTAAAGATAGAATGGGACACTTCTAGAATTCCATGCAAACACACCTTCGCAAACCAGTTACTCCTAGGAAGATCAAATCTCTGCCCCCACGAGGACAAAGTGTCACTTGGAGACCCACCAGTTCGTTTGCTCCTATCAAACCCATTCTGCTAAGGCTAAGAGTCTTCTGGGGACCCCAGATGCTAAGGCGTCCAGTTTTGGTCCCCTGATTTGTCCGTCTGTGTTCTAGCCCCGCCCTCCTCTGCGCCGATTGGCCAGCCCAGATTCTGGGGGAGCGGCCGTGCTTTGCTCGAGTCTGGCTGGGGAGCCGCCCGCGGCGGCAGTGGCGGCCGAGCTATGGGCACGGGCTCCGGGGCTGCTGGGGTCGGTGCGGGCCGAGGCCAGCGCGCGGCGGGGTGCTGGGCGACCCCCGGAGCGCCACGGCCGCCGCTCTTCTCTCTCTTCCTCCTCTTTTTCTTCTTGCTGCCGGTGCTCGGCGCCCCGATCTCGCCGTACGAGGTGAGTGGGGCCCGGGGACGGAAGTGTACAGGAGCCTCAAGGACCCGCGCACGGTCCGGAAGTGTGACTGGGCCTGTTTTGGGGGTGCTTAGGGCGCTGTGGATTAGGCAGTGGGCTGCTACCTGCAAGACCAGCAGTTCACACCCAGTGCAGCCTCCCCGCGGGAGACAGAGGAAGCTAGCTGCTCGCAGGAAGTGCTACCGTGTCTGAATTAGGGTCTCGATGACAGTGGGCAGGCAATGGTTGCTAGCCTGACAGTGTGGTTCGAGTGTGTGTTTTGTGTCATTAAGAAGTTTGATTGCGCCTTGAGTTTGCAAGGCTGCTCCTGATTGGACGCTTCATTCATGTGGCTCGCTTGGACTTTGCGTGGTGCCTGCAGCTGCCTGGGACCGCAGGGGCGAGCAGCGGTGAGGAGGGCTACTTACTGGACTCTGGTCTCTGCCTGTCCGGAGTTCCGCTTTCTTTTGTCTCCTTCACTTCCTGGCTCTGTGGTCCCGTGCTTCGCGTCACATCATCTCTCTGAACCCATTTCCTCATCTGCATTTGGGAGAATATGGCTGTCTGGCTTTTACAAATGCTTAGTAAACATTAGTTACCACTATTAGTTATGGAGTCCTTGGGTGGTACAAATGGTTAAGCCCTCAGCCGCTAGCCCCAAAGTTGGAGGTTTGAGACTACCCAGAAGTGCCTGGAGGAAGCAAGGCCTGGTGATCTTGTGACCCCAAATAGTGGGCCCAGGCCCTGGAGCTATGAGCTTTATTACTATCACTCCAAGTAGAAAAGAGAAAGAGAAAAAGGCTACCATTCTAAGATGACAACAATTGTGGCTGTTTAGTGGGTGCTCAACTTATCCCAAATTCTAAGTGATATCTTTTTTCATTTCTTCTAGCAATATTGATCACAGATTACATGCAAGTGGGCTGTAGCTTTGTTTAAAAATCTTGAATCTAAAAATAAAAAATTTGAGTCAGGTACCAGTTTCCATTTCAGATCATCAGTTTTTTATCCAACAACTTAGACTACTTATCAACCTTCCCCAAAGCTTGTCCCTTGGTGACCCTCCTCCCACTCCCCCCCCATGTTTGATTTTTCCCTCTCATGGAATACTATTTTCTCCTTTCACCCAAATTAATTCCTATCTACCTGCTAGCCCAGTATTTCCCAAAGAGAGCAATACTGTCCCCTGAGTGGTCCTGGAACCTTCCAAGGGGGCTGCAAAAACATATAGCTATTGTCCTGGATTACATACTAAAATGCCATGAGGATATTGAGCTTTTTGTTTCTGAAAAGGGGGAAGTAGGTCTAATAATTTAGGGAACCTATGCAGAACTTCACTCTGCCTCCATTGCTGCCCGCCCCAGCCCCTAACCATTGAAGTCTGTTCTTTTATTACTATGAAACGTCTTGTCTTGATTTTTCCTGTACAGCAGTGGCCTAATAAAATATTTGTCCTGTAGTGATTGGCCAGTTTCACTCTGGACTATAATTCTTAAGATGCATGACATAAAACCATAAAACACAGTAGAATGCAGAAGAACATAGGGAGTACATAAACACTTTAAAAGTTTATGACCTTGACACCTACTTTTCAAATGACCCATTGTCTACAATGACTGAGAAAGCTGGAGGGGTCGTTTTGTCTCTTAGCAGGATTCAAATAGCAACTGACATCCCTAACGCCCGTTTGAATTCTGGGACAGTCAAACCATACGGTGATGAAGCATACAGCCAAATGGATTCTCCTTCCACATGGCCGATTCAAATCAAAATGGCCACAGCCTTGCTCACAAATCTTGCCCACCACTCTTGTCTATTTCTGAAAGAAAATCCTGTGGAATTCTACTCTAAAACACTGGAGGTTGCAGTAAGCATCCGTTCCATGGTCTTCCCCCACCCTCCATGGTGTGAGTGAGAGCTGCCCTGTGGGGTCATGTGACGTGTAAATTGTATGTGTCTGAGGGATGCGTCTGAGTGTGCCCTCGTGAATGGGGCCTGGCCTCCGTACACAGTCAGGATTGGGCCACAGACTCACCACGTCAAAGCCACTTGCATGCTAGATCAAAGCTTATTGTGTACCTTCCCCCTTTGTGCCCCTATACCTTGGCGTTACTGACATGTGGTGTGTGTGTGTGTTTGGGCTTCCTGTGCAGACATGCCCCAAGGTGCAGCCGAACATGCTCAACGTTCATCTGGTGCCCCACACCCACGATGACGTTGGCTGGCTCAAGACGGTGGACCAGTACTTTTATGGCAGTGAGTAGAGGGTGGGGACTGGTCCCTGCATTCCCATAACCCTTCTGAGCCCCTTGGATCCCCTGGGGGCCATGGATATTGGGGTAGGGCAATGCCCGGCCGGGGTTCCTGTGTCTCAGAATGTTCTCCCTGGCCCCTCCTGCCCTGACTGACAGCCTTGGTCCCTGTGTCCGCAGTCCGCAATGACATCCAGCGTGCCGGGGTGCAGTACATCCTGGACTCGGTAGTCTCTGCCCTGCTGGCCGACCCCACCCGCCGCTTCGTCTATGTGGAGATAGCCTTCTTTGCCCGGTGGTGGCACCAGCAGACAAAGACAACGCAGGAACTGGTGCGGGACCTTGTGCGCCAGGGTGAGCCTGCCCTCAGGAAATGAAAAGAGGAAGCCCAGCCTCACTTCCATTTTGGCCACCGTGGCTTCTCAAAACCCCATCTCCTCTGGAAAACCTGTCATGCATGGAGCCTTTTGCCCCCAGCTGGCGACACAGGCCTGGGGGATGACCCCTCTTCATCCTCTAGGCCTGGCACGTGGGCAGGTCCTGTCATCCCCAGCATCACCCACCCTGGCCCCGAAAGCCTCACTGAATCACCCTCCTGGTGTTCCCTCCGGCACAGGACGCCTGGAGTTTGCCAACGGCGGCTGGGTGATGAACGATGAGGCGTCCACCCACTACGGCGCCATCGTGGACCAGATGACGTTGGGGCTGCGTTTCCTGGAGGACACGTTCGGTGCCGCTGGGCGTCCCCGTGTGGCCTGGCACGTCGACCCTTTTGGCCATTCACGGGAGCAGGCCTCGCTGTTTGCACAGGTGCCCCTCCTGACCTCTCTTGGGGCCACTTGCTCTGACCCTTCCCACAACCATGCCAACCCACCGTTTGCTCACTGAGCCCACACTGACTCGGCTCTGCGCCAAGACCCTGAGCCCCATCCCTTGGTTGAGCTGTGAATCCTTGCCCTTCTTGCTCTAGCCCAAGCCATGGGATGTCCCGGCCCCAAGCTGACCCCGCTTGCTCCCTCCCCTGACCGTTTTGTGTGGCTCTGACCCCTTATTGTTTGCTGTAATCCCCAAGCTCGATGGCATGGCCGGTGGAGGCCAGCCCTGCTTTTAAACCTGCCTCTCACCCCACTTCCTTTCCCTGCTCTGACCCTCCCCGGTTCAGGCAGGGGAGAGAATGACAGTCTCTCTGAATCAGGCCTGACTCCGTCTGCTGGCACCAAGCTCCCTGCCCCAGGGTGGGATGGTGGAGGTGGGTTCCCCCCTCTCCAGGCTCCCAGCTCTCCCTGAGCTCCTATGATTGTGACTCATCCTCAGACTTGGGAAGGTGCTGGGAGCCTTCCTGGAGGTAGCACTCCTTGCTCCCAGTGCTCTGATGCACCCCTTGCAGGCTGGATTTGGGATCAATTGGTGGTAAAAGAGGTGGGCCTGGTTCACACTGCCCTCCCCTGTGTGCTGACCCCCAGATGGGCTTCGATGGCTTCTTCTTCGGTCGCCTGGATTACCAAGATAAGAAGGTTCGGGAGGAGATGCTGGAGATGGAGCAGGTGTGGCGGGCCAGCACCAGCCTGAAGCCTCCCACCGCTGACCTCTTTACCGGTGAGCAGGTGCCGGGGTAACCCCACGGGTGTGTGGACTGGGCAGTCCCCGTGCCCTTGACTGAATGCCCTGAGGTGGCTGTCTGGACAGTCTTCATGCTTTTGCACTGGGTTCTCACAAATTCATGCTCCGGGTGGAGGATGGCAGGTCTCAGCCCTCGGGCAGGTCTGGGGTGCTGGGCCACTCCTGATATTGGCGTGGCCGCAGGCGTGCTCCCCAACATGTACAACCCCCCGGACTATATGTGCTGGGACAGTCTGTGTGACGATGACCCTGTGGTGGATGACCCTCGCAGCCCGGAGTACAACGCCAAAGAGGTGGTCAGATACTTCCTGCAGGTGGCTGCTGCCCAGGTAAGCCTAGTGTCCTGGGCCTACAGGACTGGTGTCGAGAATGCAGGGCCCTGCGTATGGCTCGGACATTGTCCGTGAGGAGGTTCCCATTCACCATCCCCACGTCCTTCCTCTCAGATTGGGGTATCTTCCTGTTCCGAACCCTCGTGGTGCAGTGGTTAAGCGTATGGCTGCCTATGTGACGGTCATCAGTTTGAACCCACCAGCCGATCCACAGGAGAAAGCTGTGTTTGTCCGCTGCTCTAAGGAAGACAGCTTGGGAAATCCCCATGGGGCAGGTCTACCCTGTCCTGTGGGGTTGCTATGGGCTGGAGTCAGTGGCAGTGGCTTTGGGGTCCTGAGCAGCGCACAGAGATCCTTCTCCCACAGCACACTCTCCCTGTGACCGTGACAGAGCCTGGCACAGCCCCTTGGTGCCCTTACCTGTGTGGTCAGCCCAAGGGAACCCAACGGAACCGCTGACAATTGTTATGGCCAGGCCCCGTGCTCCCATGTGCCACTGACACATGATTATGATTCTTTTTTGTAACAGACTTCATGAGTTCCCATATCCTCCCCAACCTCCTTGTGTACACACTTGATCTCCCATGTACCCAGGACACAGCTATACATGGGGGTGGAGGTGGGGGTGGGCCAAGACACCCTGGCCTGAGGACAGCCCTATCCTACCTGCAGGGCCAGCACTACCGCACCAATCACACCATCATGACCATGGGCTCAGACTTCCAATACGAGAATGCCAACACGTGGTTCAAGAACCTTGACAAGCTCATCCAGATGGTCAACAGCCAGGTCAGTTGGCCCATCCGTGGGGCCCGTGTGCGCCCGTGTGCTGCTAGTCCTGTCCGGGTCACCAGCCCCTGACAAATATCATAGGTGTTATAATATATGCAGATCATAGTAAAGTCATAGAGCATAGGAGAGGTACGAAAGAAAAGATAAAATGAAGGAGTCAGATACATTTTATGGTCTCATGCTCACCTCCAGGATGGCCATGATCTCAGCAGCCAGGTCCGTGCAGAGCGCCGGCAGAGTAGAGGGGAGGAGAGAGAGAGAGCGATTTATTTCTAACCAAGGCTTATATATCTTTGTGGGGTGTACAAGTCCCCTGATTACAGGTAACGACCTATGTCACAGGAAGGGGTTGTACCATAGGCAATACAGCAGTGGGAGGGGCACGATCTAGGGGGGGGTACATGCAATAGGAAGAGGAGGGATTAGGGGTACACATGCGACAAGATGGGCGGATCCTAGATTCAGGATGGCAGCCTAACCTTGATCGTCCTTGAGCTGGTGGTTTGATTTATTCTGAGCCCTTCAGGGAAAGCAATCCACTGTCCTTCACAGCAGGGAGTGAGCCCCACCCATGGTGGACCAGGCAGTAGTCTGATTGCTCTGCATGGCTGATGCCTTCGAGGAGATAACTGGGCAATCATTTACCATTAGTTGCAAGCAGTGTCCTAGGTCTGACATCTATTTGGGGGAGACAAGCTGGGGGAAATCCTCTTTATATCCCACACCAACTCTGTGCCCTGAGCCACAAACCACCTCACGCTTAGTGCCTACGATGACAGAAGGGCACCGTCTTCCAGTTCCGCAGACCAGAAGTCCAACAAGTGTCTCGCTTAGGCTAAAATGAAAACGGCAGCAGGATTGCTCTTCTTTTTAGGGGCCTATGTAAATGGGTAGGAGCCCTGGTGGCATAGTGGGTTGTGCTCTGGGCTGCTAAAGGCAAGGTCTGCAGTTCAAAACCACAAACCACTCCCTGAGAGCAAGACGAGGCTTTCTACTCCTATAAAGATATAGAGTCTGCTGGGAAACCTACATGGGCAATTCTACCCGATCCCATAGAGTCCTAGCTGCACAGGAACCAATTCAAGGGAAGTGAGGTGGGAGTTTGGTATAAAAAATGGGTGGGCCGTGGTCTTCTAATATACCCCTGGGGGGAACTGACTTGATGGCACCCAATAACAACAACAAGAACGACTTCCCGGATAGACGCCATGATGGTTGAGTATGGTTTGTGAGTTCTGGGGGCGAGGCAATGAAGCCTTGCACCCAGAAGGGAAGTAGAGAACGCTGTGGGAAGGTCGGCTAGTGTCAGAATTGGTAAGAAGGTTGGAGGGCAGAGGTGTGTCCGTACGCAGCCGCATCAGAATCAGCTTTGGGCTGATATTGATGCCAGAATACTCCTTAGAGGCAAAGATGAGCCTCGAGTACTGTGGGCGTGTTATCAGGAGAGAGCGGTCCCTGGAAAAGGACGTCGTGCTTGGCAGAGGCCTGGGCACAAAGGAACAAAACACTGCCTGGTCCTGTGCCACCCTCACGATGGTTCTTAAGTTGGACCGCTTTGTGGCAGCCATCATATCAAACCAATCTCATTAAGTGTCTTCTTTTTCTCTGCTCCTCGACGTGATCAAGCACGATGTTCTTACCCAGGGACTGGTCTCAAGACCGATCTGCTTGTCCTTTGAGCAGACCACAGTACTTTCAATATTTCTCACCAGCCCCACAATTCACAGGCATCCATTTTTCGGTCTACCTGATTCAGTGTCCAACTTTCACATGCATGTGAGGGGATAGAAAGTACCATGGCGTGGGTCAGTCCTCAAAGTAACGTCCTTGCTTTTCAATACTTGAAAGAGGTCTTGTGCAGCAGATTTACCCAATGTAATGTGTCTTGATTTCTTGGCTGCTGCTTCCATGAGCATCGATTGTGAATCCAAGCAAGATAAAATCCCTGACAACTTCAATCTTTTCTTCATTTATCATTACGCTTCCTTATTGGTCCAGTGGTGAAGTTAACAGGTGACAATTCAGGGTCAGAAATGCATAGGACACTATTCCTGGCTCAGGATAGCCTCTCCTCACCAAATCAGCAGGCGGGCCTCTCTGATTGTCAGTCTCTCAGCAATAAGGACCACTGGCTTACACAAGGCTTGCTCAGGCAAGTGTTAACACCATCCTCAGCGTTATCTGCCTGCCCCGTCTCCACATCCGCACCTCAACTCCCTCACTTCCTGTATTGCCATTTCACGAGGTCTGCTCAAAGTCACACCACTGGCCACTGAGCACCTGCCAGCAGATATTTCTCAGCCCTTCCCCCATCCCTGAGGAGTCTTCAATCCCCTCAACCACGTCCTCTGCTGAGCAAGTACCATACCCTTTGGCTGCCGGGGTGCCACTCTCTCGTTTTCTCTCCTGCCCCTGACAGTTCCTCTGCGGACTGTTTTAGACTCTGCCAACGAACTCTTTGGTTGCGATCCTGGTTCTGCCACCTATTGCCTTTGTGGCCGTCAGCAGTGGGCTTAAGTGCTCAGTGCCTTTGTTTCCTTATCTATAAAATGGATTTAAATGGTGGTCATCACCTCACAGGGCTGTTACATGAGAGTGTAATGGGTTCATTTGCTTAGAGCAATCAAATAGCGCCTGGCACGTAATACATGCTAATGGTGGTGGTTATTGTCCTTGCCTCTGAGGAAAAACTCCTGCCTCTCCTCTAACATATCAGCTGCAAGGCTTCCTCTCCCAGCCAGCTTTCACCCAACCCTAGGCTCCACGTGAACCCACATCCAGGCCAACTAGAACCAACTGACTGTTTAAAGTCTCTCTTCCCAGCTTGGCTGTGCATTCCATGAGGGCTAGGACTGGTCTCTCTGGTTCTAGATTGTGTCTGGAATCTAGATGGGTTGAAGAACTGAGTCATTGTGTGCTGAGTAGGCAGTGTTAAATGCCTAGGTTGGTAAATAAGCATGTGTGGGGGTGTGTAGTCACGTGTGCACTCCCTTTATTTACTCAACTATTTATTGAGCACCTACTGTGTGCTGGGTACTGAGGACCCAGTATCAGCAGAAGGCGGCTAGCCTTGTTCCTCTGCTCTCCTCTCTTGAAAAAGGAGCTCCCATTCATTATAAAAATTGAGCCATTTTGGTACAAATGCTGATTCCCGCACTCGAATGTCCAAGAGAACTCTGAACACCACGGCTCCTTAACACACCGGGTCATGAGGGCTTGGAGTTAAGTCCAGGACAATGGGCTTCCTCTTTCTTTTTGGTAATGCCACCATTTCACCCCCCCCACCCACCACCCCCCGTGAACGTTTACAGTTACAGAATTCAAGCTATTTTGAAAGTTAAATAACGGGGCAAGCCATTGGGAGACTTGGTAAACTGTTGAATACAAAACAGATGAACTTGGTACCGGAGTTTAGGTGGTTGCCTAGACAAAATTAAGATTTACTTTGAGAGGTACAGAAAAGGTTTCCGCAAAGATAATTTGATTGAAAGACTCCTAAGAGGAAGAAAAACGTTGCCAGCCCGGCCCGGTATTTTTTTACTTCCCCCACTGTGAAATGGACACTTAAAACATTCTCAGCCAGAGATTGTCGGGTGGCAGGGGAACTTCCGCTGGGGTTAGCAAACGGTTCTGGGTAATGTAGTCCCAGTGCAATTCGTGGACTCTGCGCATGCTCTATCCAAATCACCTTCGCTCCCACGCGTCTCAACGTAATTCTCCATCTGATCCGTACACCCTCACCTAATTTACAATGCAAAGTTAAAAATTTTGAAAATAACTTAAAAACACAATAGAAGTTTAGTAAAATCTCAGGTCTATTCTTGTATCTCTGAGGCTCTTTCAAGCATGGTACTATGGCTTTGGCCGATACTCCTATTCCACTTGACTCTCGGTTTGCCCTCAGAATGTCTAGTAGAGCATCTGCTGCGCGTGTGTGCACACGTGTCGACGCATGTACCTGCTCCCTGCAAGCCCTCTGGGAAGACACGACTCCAGGGGCCTTTACCTCTTCTTCCCCCTGCAGCAGGCCAATGGGAGCCGAGTCAACGTGCTCTATTCCACCCCTGCCTGTTACCTCTGGGAGCTGAACAAGGCCAACCTCACCTGGTATTTGGGGACACGCCCATCTGGGGGTATTGGGATGCCTGTGGGCCCAGCCCTCAGTGCCCCACCTCCGCGATCCGCCTCTGCAGGTCGGTCAAACAGGATGACTTCTTCCCCTACGCCGACGGCCCCCACAAGTTCTGGACGGGTTACTTCTCCAGCCGGCCGGCCCTCAAACGCTACGAGCGCCTCAGCTACAACTTCCTGCAGGTGGGTGGGTGTCTGGCCCAAGGAGATGGCCAAGGGGTGGTCACCCCAATGGGCACGCTTAGTTACCCCAATACACCTGTACCTACCAGGTATGCAGCCAGCTGGAGGCGCTGGTGGGACCCAAGGCCAACGCGGGACCCTATGGCTCTGGAGACAGTGCGCCTCTCAGTAGGTGTCGGGTCTGCGGGGTGGCGGTGGGGGGGCAGGGAGGGGGGCGGGGGAGACTGGGGCTGGACTGTCCCACCTTCAAAGCTCTTAAGTTTCATTCCCACGTGCACTGAAGCTTCTGTGTCTGCAGCGGTCGGGGCGAGTGGCCCATGGAGGCCCCACCCAGCTCACCTTCCCACCCACAGGGGAGGCGATGGCCGTGCTCCAGCATCACGACGCGGTCACCGGCACCTCCCGGCAGCACGTGGCTGATGACTACGCGCGCCAGCTGGCTGAGGGCTGGGGTCCGTGTGAGGTGTGCGGCCAAAAGGGGAGGCACCTCGCAGGCCGGCGACGAAGGGGCGGAACCTGGGGGGCGGGGGAGCAGAGAGGGGAGTGGGAGGAGTCCCGGAAGGGGGGTGGGGCTAGGGTGGCTCGGATGAAGAGGGGCGGGGCCGAGGAGGAGGGGGCATCTAGGGCTAATGCGCATCTTTACGCTTCTCGCCAGGTGCTTCTGAGCAACGCTCTGGCGCGGCTTCGGGGCGCCAAGGAGCAGTTTACCTTCTGCAGGGAGCTCAATGTCAGCGTCTGTCCACTCAGCCAGACCACAGCAAAAGTGAGCCGGCAGGGGGCGGGGCCGGAGGGCTGGTCTGTGGGCGGGGCCAAGAGCTGACGGAAAGAGGACCGCCTCTTTGGGGGGCGGGGCGAAGGGAGGCGGGGCTCGGGTCTGCATTTTCGGAGTTGTTCTTGGAGGAACCACTCAGGGATGTTTGCGTGTGAGCCGCAGGCTGCACCACGTCCGGGAGCCTGGTGGGTGCGTTTGGAAAAAAACTTGCGAGTGACTTATGCCCGCCCTGACACTCCCTCCCTAGTTCCAGGTCACCGTGTATAACCCCCTGGGGCGCAAGGTCGATCGGATGGTCCGGCTGCCGGTCCGTGAAGGTGCTTTCTCCGTGAAGGACCCCAATGGTGTGGCGGTGCCCAGCGAAGTGAGCCCCCCAACAATCTCACCCTGATTCCCTCCCACTTGGAGCTCCTCCCCATGGACCTCTTTCCGTCCTGCGACCTACGACCCCTACTTCCTACCACCTCACCATAAATACCTCCCTCGCTGCCCCTCAGCCTCCCTTTGGGGCTATCTCCCCCTGTTGAGCAGCTCCTCATGAAATGGTTTCTTCTCTCCCTCTTTAGTCCTTTAGTCCTTTAGTGCAGAGGATATGCACCCACATCGGGCACACCACTTGCTGTTGAATTGACTCCAACGCTGCCAACCATGAGGTTGGAGGTGCCAGTCCACCTGGAGGCACATTAGAAGAAAGACGGCCTAATTTATTTCTGGGCCCGGTGGGGGGCAGGGGCATCAGACATTGAAAACTTAGGGAGCATAGTTGTACTCTGACACACATGGGGTCCCCCCAACACCTCTTCCATCAATAATCTTTCTCTCACTTCTTTCCCTCCCCAAGTCTCTCTGTTGACTCAGTGGATTTTTCTCCCTCGTGAACAAAGGAGCCTCCTCTCTCAGAAATCTTTATCTCAGAAATGCTGATGCTCCCCCACTACCTCAGTGTCTCCACCCCATTTCAAGACTTCAGAAGTCCCTCCCTGAGTGTGGCCTCAGCACATAGTGCCCCATTGTGTATGTATTTACAGCCTCTTGACTCGCATGTCCTCCCTGTTATCCAAGGTGGTGGTACTTCCGGGGTCAAACAGACAGGAGCACCCCCCAGAGCTGCTCTTCTCTGCTTCAGTGCCTGCCCTGGGCTTCAGCACCTACTCTGTGGCCCGGCTGCCTGGCCGGAACCCCAAGTCCCGCACACACCGACCCAAGCCAAGAATTCGAGCCCTGGACATACAAAATGAGGTGAGACCCCCTCAAGTCCCTTTCCCTAACACTATGACATCTTTTGTGGACTCTGGGTCACAGGGTCCTGATTTCATGGTGCAGCATCTCTCTCCTGCCATTTTGTCCTTGAGTGAGTGACCTCTCCTGGGGCTGTGGTCAGGACCCAGCGTGAGCATGGGTGGGTGTCCAAAAGGATGGTGGATAGAACATCAGGGAAGACCTTCCTGAGAAGCTACTGGTTGAGGGGAACACAGGGAAGTGAGAGAGGGAGCTAGTTGGGGAAGAAATGGATCACAACAGGAAAGAGCAGATGCCCACAAGCCCCAAGGCAGAACATTGCTTGGTTCAGGAACACAAGGAACTCAGTGTGGCTGAAGCAGAGTGCCCGGTGGGGATGGGAGGAGAGGAGGGCAGGCGCTCCCTGGGACTTTGACTTTCATCACGAAGGAACCACAGGAAGAGTCCTGCTCCATTAAGGTTTCTGAGGACCTAGGATTTTAAAGGGTGGCTTAGTGGTTACAAGTTGGGCTACTAACTGTAAGGTCAGCAGTTCAAGACCACCCGCTGCTCAGCAGCATAAAGATGGGGCTTTCTACTCCCATAAAGAATTACTGTCTCTCGAGCGCACAGGGGCAGTTTCCCCCTATCCTGTAGGCATGTTCTGAGTCAGCACTGACTTGATGGCAATGAGTTTGGTTTGCTTTTCTGAGGACCTTTAAGGAGCACCTGTGAGTTACATATTGGGCTGCTAACCATAAGATCCAAGGTTCAAACCCATCAGCCACTCTTCGGGAGGAAGAAGCAAGCCTTCTGCTCCTGAAAAGATTTCCATTCTCAGAAACCCAGTTCTCCTCTGTCCTATGGGGTCGTTATGGGTTAGAATCAACTCGATGGCAGTGGCTCTGTTGTGGTTTGTTTTGTTTTAGGGGGAGGACCTTTGCTTTTGTGTGACCCCTTTCCTCTATAAAAGAATATTAAAAGGATATTGCTTTAAAGGTGAATAGAATCCATGCTGGATTCCTTATTACCTATTCACTTTTTATTCAAGTTTTCTCCAGAAACCTAAAGCAATGAGAACTTCAAACATTTCTCTGAATTCCTAAAGCCTCTTGCATCCTGGGCACTGAGATCCCAGTGTCTGCCTCACAGTTGGCTCTGGTTGCAAGCAGAGGAGCCCCCTGCTGGGATTTAGGATGAACCCTCTGGCTGCCGAGGGAGTGGACAACAGACTAGGGGTGGAAGGAGGAAGTTATCAGAACAGGGAGGAGGCCATGGTCTTGGCTTGTGATGGGTCAGCTCTGACCCGAGAAGTGTGGACATGGTGAGGTGTGGTCACATAGGAGATAAAGCGAACTGAAAGGATTTGCAAGTAGGCTCCGATGTGAGAAGTGAAGACAAGGGTGACTGTAGGGTTCTGTCTTCACCTCTGGGAAGGACAGAGCTACTCTTGCCTGAGGCGATGATCATTAACATTTGTCCACCTTCTCTGACCAGCACATCCGGGCTTCATTCAACTCTGACACAGGGCTCTTGATGGAGATTGAGAACCTGGATCAGAACCTCCGGCTGCCTATTCGCCAAGCTTTCTTCTGGTGAGGGTGTGGATCACCAGGTCAGGGAGGAATGTGAGTGGAGCCCTGGACCCCCTAACCTGACTCTGGTCTGCCTCGGCCTCAGGTACAATGCCAGCGAAGGCAACAACGTAAGCTCCCAGGTCTCAGGTGCCTATATCTTCAGACCAGACCAACAGGATCCACTGCCTGTGAGACGCTGGGCTGAGACTCGCCTGGTGAAGGTCTGTGGCCCGGAATGATGAGTGGGGCAGATGGGGGTGGGGATGGTGGTGGGAGCTGTGTGATTAGGTGTGGTGTGTGAGGACATTTTGGAGGAAGGGGACCGAGTGTGTATGGGATATGGTAAGGTGGAAGGAAGGATCCACATCTCTTATCAGATAAAGGGGTTCCCCTCTGATACTCGAGAGTTCTAGTTGAGGGTTCGATGGGCTGGCGTGGATCTGTCTGAGGAATCACACACTGAAGGCGCTCACACCTGCCAGGGGGGTCAGGATTCTGACTTAGGTTTGGAAATTGGAGGTGGGTGTTACCACTTGGTCCACAAATGGGCAGGGCTGTTGCAACTCTTTGGAACTCACCAAGGGTCTGTGGTGTGAGGCGGACCTTTCTGGGGTGGGTCACTGAGAATTCACACCTGAGAAAGTTGAATGTAGGGGGCATATCTGAGGGTGCAGATATGTTCCAGAAACGTCTAGGGTCGTTGCCAGCCCTGTCATCTACATTTCCCCACCTCCCTGTAAGGTGAGCAGCTTCAGACCTTGTATCACTGAATTAGGGTATCGCTTTGCCTACTATAACAGAGCTATCCAAATGCACTGCCACCAGCCCCTTTTTAGGAAAAAAAAATTATTCTGTGACCCCCGACAAACGAAAAACTTTCATGCGATAGCCCACAAGGGAGGATAAAGTGTAGGGACCTGCCTGAATTGTTCTCGTGCCCTCCCGCCCCCTGGGAGGCAGCATCACCTACTTGGGGAAATAGTGCTCTAACATAAAGTCTGGCCAAGCAGTCCAAGGCAGGGGAGGCCGCTCCCCAGTCACCCAGGCCCCTTCCCTCGTGGTTCTGCCTTCAGCGTTCAGCTTCCACCTCATGATCCAAGGTAGCTACTCAGGCTACAGCCATCACAGCTTCCATATGAGCAAGCAGGAAAGGAGAAGGGCCAGCTAAGTAGTCATCTACTGAGATCACTTTCCACTGGACAGACTGGTCACACAGCTACTTCTAGCTTCAGAGGATGCTGGGGATTACAAGACGTAGACCACGTAGCCATGCGCCAAGCTAGAACGCTAGGATTACGTGAAAGAGGTGAGGGTGATGGGGATCAAGTGGCTGATAGGCCACCCTGGACGATGAAGTAGCCATGACAAGACAGGTTGGGTCCCCATGCTGTCTGCTGGTGGGGCTGACCCTGGTACAGGGAGAGTGGAGTTCACAGCCGGGCAGACCTCGGTAGGGCTCACCTGCTCAGGTGTGGGCTCACCCCTGCACTCTCCCCTCCCCTGTCCCCTTCGGCATGCAGACGGCCTTGGTGCAGGAGGTGCATCAGAACTTCTCGGCCTGGTGCTCCCAGGTGGTTCGCCTGTACCCGGGGCAGAGGCACTTGGAGCTGGAGTGGACAGTGGGGCCAATACCCGTGGGGTGAGTGTCCTGACTGGAATGGCGCTGAGGGCTGGGCCAGCGCGGCCTTTAATAAAGATGAGACCGATGACCCTGCTTTCCCATTGACCGCAGGGACGGATGGGGGAAGGAGGTCATCAGTCGCTTTGACACGACCCTGGAGACGAATGGACGCTTCTACACAGACAGCAATGGAAGGGAGATTCTGGAGAGGAGGTGGGCGTGGCTAGGGACACTGAAGGCGTGGGTGGAATAATGGGTGGGGTCCTGGGGCCCAGGGGTGGTGGGGACATTTGCCGGTCGTGTGTGGGCAGGTGAGAATGAGGAGGGAGCGAGGAGCTGTGAGCTGGGAAGGATGGCAGACCCCAGGCCTGACAGAACCCCGCTCCTCCGCAGGCGGAATTATCGGCCCACCTGGAACCTGAACCAGACTGAACCTGTGGCCGGAAACTACTTCCCAGTCAACAGCCGCATTTACATCACGGTACTCCCCACGCCTCCCCATCCTCAGCACCTCTCAGGTGTTCTGGGCGGTCACCTTGGCTCCCTGCCAGACCCCGCCCACTGGGCGTGGCGTACAGCCCCGCCCCTCAGCCCCGCTCTCCCCCTCCCAGGACGGGAACACGCAGCTGACAGTGCTGACTGACCGATCCCAGGGGGGCAGCAGCCTGAGCGATGGCTCCCTGGAGCTGATGGTGAGTGGGCGACAGCTGTGTCGACGCCTGGGCTCCACCAGGCCTTGTTGGACCGACCGGAAGCCTGTTTCTGCCCCACCTGCTAGGTGGCCCCACGATTTGTAGCGCTCACTCATCTTTCCTATTCCAGGGTTTCTCTGTACGTTTATTCAGTCCCTCCCCTGGGCGGCCCCTCTCCAAGCCCTGACTTGCCCGACCCCGGACCCCTGTTAGGAACTGACTATCCTTACCTAACAGAGCCGAACTGCCCCCCCACATCTATTCCTCTTTCCATTTTCTGGCCCAGGGACCCCCTAGCCGACCTTGACTGTCTCCTGGCCTCTCTGTCCGCTAGGTGCACCGAAGGCTGCTGAGAGATGATGCCCGTGGAGTTGGGGAGCCGCTGCAAGAGGCGGGCCCGGATGGGCAGGGACCAGGGCTGTGGGTGCGAGGCCACCACCTCGTGCTGCTGGACACTGCCCGGGCTGCGCCCACCGGGCACCGGCTGCTGGCGGAAAAGGAGGTCCTGGCCCCACAAATTGTGCTGTCCCTGGGAGATAGTGCCCTCTATCACCTAGGGACCACTCCGCGCATGCAGGTGAGGGGCAGAGGGCTCCGCAGATTCAGGGGGGCCGCTCGAAGTCTGCAGATTGGGTGCTAGGCTCAGTCATATCCATTTTGCCTGCATCCAGAGGGCTAGAGGGACCCATCAAGTAGTCCCAACCCTATCTCTTCAGTCCCATCCCTCTTGGCCACTCCCCCACCCAGGCTCAGATCAGCCCCGCCCTCTCAGTGCAACCCTGCCCACTGACCACATTAAGCCTGCCCCCGCGGATCCCCAGGTTGTCCTTTCTTCCAGTTCTCTGCGCTGAACAAGGAGCTGCCCCCCTCAGTACACCTGCTCACCCTTGCCCGCTGGGACCCAGGGACTCTGCTGCTGCGCTTGGAGCATCAGTTTGCCGTTGGGGAGGACCGCAACTTGAGCTCCCCCGTGACCCTAGACTTGCAGGTGAGCACAGACAAGAAGACTAGGAAGAAGGGAAAAGGGGGACCCTCACTGGACTCCCGCTCAGCTGGCCCATCCTCTGCCCACAGAACCTGTTCTCCACCTTCACTATCACTCGCCTGCAAGAGACCACGCTGGCGGCCAACCAGCTTCGGAATCACGCCTCCAGGCTCCAGTGGACAACCAACAAAGGTGAGGGCCTCCCGGGGCTGGGAGCTGAGACGGTGTGAGGCATGGGCATGTTGGCCAGGACCTAGACACCAGCTGGAGCGTCACGGGTGCTGTCTCGATCCAGGTCAAGAGTGTAAGGGTCTGAAGTGAGTTCAGCAACCTGACAAAGAGTAGTTGAGGGTTTGGGAAAAGGGTTCAGTGCCAAGAAGGACGCTTAGGAATCTGGGGCCCTCAGTGTCCAGGTGTGGGAGGCCAGCACGAGGGCCTGCAGGGGTATCCAGCACCCAGGGAGTGTGCTCAACAGCCAGAGGTAGGGCTTGAGAGGGTGAGGGAGCTGGCCCGATGTCTTGGGATTAAGTTGCCCTGGGAAGTAATTTAAAGGTTGGAGATAAAGCCCTGCGGACAGATTTCAAGGCTCATGGCTGTGATGAGGTCTCCAATCGCAAGTGAGGCAGAGGAAATTCTGTGCCTCCTCACTGGTTGTCTTCCTGAATTCCTTCGCCCAGGCCCTGCTACCCAAACCCCGCCTTCCTTGCTGAACCCCACCGCTGTCACGCTGCAGCCCATGGAGATCCGCACCTTCTTGGCCTCAGTCCAATGGAAGAAGAATGTCTAGACCTGCCAAGAGGCCTCCTTCTGGGCCGGGGTCCCTTCCTGTCTCCCAGAGATGAGGGAGGCGCTTCCCTTGTCCTCTGGCTGCTGCTGCCACCAACCAAAACCATTAAAAAATGTCACCACCAGGATCCAGGTTGAGGCATAACTGAGTGGAGTGGTTTGGGGTGTGTGAAGGGGTAGAAACAGACCCTAGCTGACCTGACCCAAGGCTTACAGATGGGCTTCTTGCCTCTTTGACTGGTCCTGCTAGAAGCTCACACACCGCTCACTCCCTACTTGCCACCCATTCCCACCCACTGCTCCTCCTCTGTCTGCTGCTGCCCTCCCCCCTTGGGTATCAGAGGCAACCCAAGGGGAAGCTTTGGATGGGTGGGCTGGAGCCATGGACCTCCCGGGAGCTGGAGGGAGAGAGTCTGACACTTCCTGGGCTTCTACAGAATTCTGTTATCAAGAAAGACGATGTTGGGATTAAGTTTGAGTGTAGCAGGAGGAAGAAGTGCACCAGCAGATGGTAGGACTTGTGCAGTTCGGGAATGCTCACAGCGCCACCTGCAGCCTAGTGCAGGTCAGTGTTAGGATGAGCCTCTTGGAAGTTCACTCTATAAAGGGACCTCCCAGGACAGATAGGGAAGTTTGGGAGGGTGTCCCCAGGCTCACCAAGGTCCCATGTGGGACCCAGTCAGTGTTACACGTGAACATCTTTCCAAGTGCCTCCTTGAGGGGCAGCCGTCTAGTTGTGGTCTGCTGTGGGGGAAGCCAGCCCCGCATAACTCATCACGGGTTCAGTAGGCGCAATCCTACGGTTAAAATATAAAGATTATAGTAAAGCCCTAGAGAAATTGGAGAAATGGGGGAGAGAGAGTAAAATGAAGGAGTCAGACACATTTCATGGTAGCATGCTCACCTGGACGGCCATGATTGTGTCAGACTTATTTGTACATATACTGCCAGTTTTCTAGACATTTACTTTCTATTGAGCCCTTTGTATCAGCTCCTCTTTTCTTCCCTCGTGGCCCCTTGATAGATTATAATTTATTATTATTTTCATATCTCACACCAATTGCTGTCTCCCTTCCCCAGTGGTTTCTGTTGTTCTTCCCCCTGGAGGGGGTGCATGGTTATGTGCTAATCATTGCAATTGGTTCCCACTTCCTCCCGTCTCCCCGCCACCCCTTCCCATCCCTTACCCCATTCCTGTTCCTGGATTCCGTGTGTCATAAGCTTTATCTCTTGTCTATCTATACCTGTTCCGGTTCAGCCCAAAGTGAGAAGCAGTACTAGGGCCATGACAGTGGGGGTGGAGAAACCTCAAGGAACAAGAGAAGTATTGTGTAATCAGTGCTCTGCTGCGCCCTGATTGACTCATTCCTTCCCTGCGACCCCTACAGATGGGCTTTGGGTCTCCAATCTGACCCTTCCTTTTTCTGAACAAGGTGTTTTTGTTTGTTATGAATCTTCTGATGCCTGCCACGCAGTGCTGATGACACCTCATGATCACACCGGCTGGTATGCTTCTTCCATGTGGTCTTGTTGCTTTTCTGCTAGATGGCTGTTTGTTTAACTTCAAGCCTTTGAGACCCCAGATACTATATCTTTTAATAGCCGGGCACCATCCGCTTTCTTCACCACATTTGCTTATGCACCCATTTGTCTTCAGTGATTGCATGTGTGTGTGGGGGTGGGGGGTGAGCAT